AACGTGGATGGACCTCTCTCTCTTTCTTTCTTCCTCTCTGATTCTCCTTTTCTCATCATGCCCCGCTGTCTCTTGCTCCCACTGGAACCCGTCTCTCTCTTCCAAATAGATCTTGTAGTACTTAGGTTCATCAAGATAACTCCAGGCTGGCTTTGTGTCTCTTCCAAGAGAACGCGAGTGGAGGTGGAGATGGATCGAGAGCGGTGGCGTGGAAGGACGGAGTGGGTAGTGGGACATATTGTACCGGGCGCTGCTGCGTTGTTTTGACCTTTTCGAGATTCGAGGAGCAGAAGAGTTTCCTCTCTTCGCTCTCGTGACACACTAGGATAAGTGCAAGAAGCGCATTGTGAAGACTTTGCGGATCGCTGATCCGCAGCCCAAAAACCTGTCAGGTCGACATTGCTCTCCTCCCTCCGCTCTTTCCTACCCCCGTCTTCTCCCGTTTCTCCAACAAAACTGTACCATTGTCGCGCGAGATGTTGCTGATAGACGAAATGGTGACCGTGCGCCAGACGAAGCTGCTGGAGATATAAATATTTTCGCTGCATATTTGTAAAAAAAAGTGAGAGTGGGCTAAAATCGCACTTACGCGAAGAAACGCCGAATCATAATATCGTATCGAATAAAATAAAATGTGACTTCTATCGAAACCATCTGACGATTTTGATGCGAGTCGCACTATCATTTTTCGGATACTTCCCGAGTCGAAATTTAAAACCTACTATAAACCTCATACATGGTTATTTGTGCCTCTAATAATGTTCCTTGACCTACAAGTTCTATCTTGAAAGTGTTATGTCTTCTTTTGGCCTTTCTTTAATCTTGTTGTCCTAGAAAACCCTTATTTTTATTGATGTTAAATATACAATTCCTACTTTCGTTCTTACAACTCCTATCTCTTTTGAATCTCCAAATCTTATCAAAATTTCTAGCAATAAAAATATTAATATTTAATCTATAATTGAGTTCAATTTTATTATTTCAGATTAATATAATAAATGTTATAATATAAAATAAATAATAACAAATGAATAGCAAAAAATATTTTTAAAAATTAAGTGCAACTCAGTATTATATTTAGTATTATAAATAACTAAAAATTTATTCGAATAAATAAAAAACAATTGAAATTCAAAATTTTATTTAATATTTTATTACATATTTGACCTATAATTTGAAATTATTTAATATTCTATTACCACATTTACTTTATTTGTATTTAATGCATATCTTAATTTCAATAAGCGCAATACATTAATTATGTAATTTACTTAACTGCAGATAGATATGTAAGAGATAAGTGAATATTATTATATAATATTTGCTTATAGTAGCCTATTTACAGTTAAGCAAATTATAATAATTAATATATTGTTTATTGAAATCAAGATCCATACATTAAATGCAAGTAGAGTATATGAGATAATAGATTATTAAGTGATTTTGAATATTTATTTTCTAGAAATACATATTTATAGAACCTGGAGCCTTTTTAGAGGTTCTCAGTAGGTACTCTTTTGAGCTTCCACATGGAAAAAACGGCAATAAGTAACAATTTTTAGTATCAAAGGAAGGCAATAGCCAATGTAATGTTATATCTATATATATAAATTAAAGCTTACATTGGTTCTTCAAATTCGACAAAACTTGTAGGTTTAATCTAGGCTAAAAATTTCGACTCGGGAATTGGCTTGACAATCGCATCGCGGGAATTTCAGAGTATCCGGCGCTGTGTTATTAACGGGAAAGCGAAACAAGCCATTATGCACAACAAATTACGAGCCTCGGGAGGACAGCGCGCGCGCTCTTCATTACACAGGCAAAAAGGCAGCTCATTAACTCTTACGAGCTCTTTCGCGAAGTAACGTACATACAAAGTAACGATAATCCGGACGTCTCCGCTTCGGGCGTATCAACCCCGCCTATCCGAGAAAAAATAAATTATCCCCGAACGAGATTCCGGGGCCGAGAAGGAAAAGAGAAGACGAGCTGAGGCCGAAAAAATGGAAAGGGAGAGATGAAGATGAGAGGCGCATCGCGT